TACTCCTGATATAATGCACTGAGAAGGAATACTATTTCTGTGGCAATCCTCTAAAAAATAAATAATCACAATTCAATCTGAAAACATCAAACTGAAATTGAGAGACATTCCACAAAGTATCTAACCAGGACTCTTCAACGTGTCAAGGTCATGAAAGACAGGAATGATTAAGGAACTGTCAGAGATCAGAAGAGAGCAAGGAGACATGACAAATGCAATTCTATCCTAGATAGAATCATAGAACAACAACAGCAACAAAATGATATTAGTAGGGAAAATTGTGAAATTCTGATAAGGTCTGTAGTTAATAGTACTGTTCCAACATTAATGGCATGGTTTTGATCACAAATCTATGGTCACAGAAGACCTTAACATTAAAGATATATGGTAATTGTATTATTTTTGCATCATCTGTATAAGTCTAAAATTATTTCAAAATAAAAAAATGAAAAGTAAGTAAATGGCACATTTTGAGATGAGAAAATACAATACCAATCAAATGACCCAATTTTTGGAGAAACTAATTTTAAGTCATTTAGATTTACAGAAAATCCAGGTATTTCTATGTAATATAAGAAAAGTTAACAGAAAAATAACTACTAATATAATTCTCTTTCTAATTATGCCATAAAAGTATTTTCACACGGTTAACAATCATAAAAGCAGACTGAGGGTGGGTGTGGTGGCTCATGCCTGTAATCCCTGTACTTTGGGAGGCTGAAGCAGGCGGATCACCTGAGGTCAGGAATTCGAGACCAACCTGGCCAAAACAGTGGAACCACATCTCTACTAAAAATTCAAAAAATCAGCTAGGCATGGTGGTGCATGCCTGTAGTCCCAGCCACTCAGAAGGCTAAGGCAGGAGAATTGCTTGAACCCAGGAGGCAGAGGTTACAGTGAGCTGAGATCATGCCACCGAACTCCAGACTGGGCAACAGAGTGAGACTCTGTCTCAATAAATAAATAAATAAATAAATACCTAACACCATAAAAACCCTAGAAGAAAATCTAGGCAAAACCATTTAGGACATAGGCATAGGTAAGAACTTCATGACCAAAACACCAAAAGCATTGGCAACAAAAGCCAAAACAGACAAATGGGACCTAATCAAACTCCACAGCTTCTGCACAGCAAAAGAAACAGTCATTAGAGTGAATCAGCAACCAAGAGAATGGGAAAAAATTTTTGCAATCTACCCATCTGACAAAGGGCTGATATCCAGAATCTACAAAACAGTTTTACAAGAAAAAAACAAACAATCCCATTCAAAAATGGGCAAAGGATATGAACAGACATTTTACAAAAGAAGACATACATGAGGCCAACAAACATATGAAAAAATGCTCATCATCACTAGTCATTAGAGAAACGCAAATCAAAACTACATTGAGATACCACATCACGATCATAAAAAAATCTGAAGACAACAGATGCTGGAGAGGATGTGGAGAAATAGGAACACTTTTACACTGCTGGTGGGAGTGTAAATCAGTGCAACCATTGTGGAAGACAGTGTGGGGCCTCCTCAAGGACCTAGAAATAGAAATTCCATTTGACCCAGCAATCCCATTTCTGGTTATATATCCAAAGGATTATAAATCGTTCTACTATAAGGACACATGCACACAAATGTTCATTGCAGCACTGTTTACAATAGCAAAGACCTCGAACCAACCCAAATGCCCATCTATGATAGACTGGACAGGGAAAATGTGGCACATATACACCATGGAATACTTTGCAGCCATCAAAAACGATGAGTTTGTGTCCTTTGTAGGGACATGGATGAACCTGGAAACCATCATTCTCAGCAAACTGATACAAGAACAGAAAATCAAACACTGCATGTTCTCACTCATAAGTTGGTGTTGAACAATGAGAACACATGGACACAGGGAGGGGAGCATCACACACTGGGGTCTGTCAGGGGGACATAGGGGAGGGACAACGGGGGGTGGGGAGTTGGGGTGAGATAGTATGGGGAGTAATGCCAGATATAGGTGATGGGGAGAAAGGTAGCAAATCACACTGCCATGTGTGTACCTATGCAAGAATCTTGCATGTTCTTCACATGTCCCCCAAAGCCTAAAATGTAATAAAAAATATAAAAAATAAAAATAAAAATAAACAAATAAATAAAAGCAGATTGAAATGAGCTCTGTTAAGAATTTTCTCTTGCGTATTAAGAAATTAGTCTTAAGACTCACGTTTTTCTTTACCTATTTATTATTTCAAAGAGAGATAAATAAATAAACAGCATTATTTATGTCTAATATAGGCCCTGCCTGTATGGCACTAATATAGTATACCTATTGCATTTCTTTCCATCCTACTAGATAATGAACTATAAGTCACAATGTTATATTCCTAGTCCAGCAGAATGCTTAAGACATGAGGGTACTAATAATTATTAGCTCCAAAGTGAATAAAATATTTTAGTTTTATATTTTATTCTTTCTAGTTGAAAGATCTTTCTAGTTGAAGGATCTTCATTTTTATATATTCAAAATACTTTTAATTATAAGAAAATAAGAAATAGTCTTCAAAGAAAATCACTTATAAACCTAAAAATAAAAGAATCCTGACTGTACTTCTTTCAAATCTCAATACTGATAATACATTGTTTCTATTCTGAGTTATATTTTGCCTACATGATCTAGTCACAAATAAGTTTATCCCTTCTTCTAAATTCAGTTTATAATTTGTGCCATTATGTTTCAGTTAATTTTTAAATAATTAGTTTCATGCCAATATATACTTCAGTGACTTTCAGTTCTTCATGAAGTATGTATAATGTCTGTCTTTACAAAAGTAGTCATTGGGACTTTGTACAAATAATCTGAGAACTATACTCTTTATATAGTTATGTGGTATTATTTGTGCTACTTAAAATAAACAATAATAAATCTAGGCAAAACTATCCAGGACATAGGAGTAGGCATGGACTTCATGAACAAAACACCAAAAGCATTGGCAACAAAAGCCAAAATAGACAAATGGGACCTAATGAAACTCCACAGCTTCTGCACGGCAAAAGAAACAGTCACTAGAGTGGATCGGCAACCAACAGAATGGGAAAAAATTTTTGCAGTTTACCCATCTGACAAAGGGCTGATATCCAGAATTTACAAAGAACACAAATGGATTTACAGGAAAAAAACAAACAAGCCCATTCAAAAGTGGGCAAAGGATATGAACAGACACTTTACGAAAGAAGACATATATGAGGCCAACAATCATATGAAAAAATGCTCATCGTCACTGGTCATCAGAGAGATGCAAATCAAAACCACATTGAGATACCATCTCACGCCAGTTAGAATGGCGATCATTAAAAAATCTGGAGACAACAGATGCTGGAGTGGATGTGGAGAAATAAGAACACTTTTACACTGTTGGTGGGAGTGTAAATTAGTTCAACCATTGTGGAAGACGGTGTGGCGATTCCTCAAGGCCTTAGAAATAGAAATTCCATTTGACCCAGCAATCCCATTACTGGGTATATATCCAAAAGACTATAAATCCTTCTACTATAAGGACACATGTACACGAATGTTCATTGCAGCACTGTTTACAATAGCAAAGACCTGGAATCAACCCAAATGCCCATTGATAATAGACTGGATTGGAAAAATGTGGCACATATACACCATGGAATATTATGCAGCAATCAGAAATGATGAGTTTGTGTCGTTTGTAGGGACATGGATGAATCTGGAGAACTTCATCCTCAGCAAACTGACACAAGAACAGAAAATGAAACACCGCATATTCTCACTCATAGATGGGTGATGAAAAATGAGAACACATGGACACAGAAAGGGGAGTACTAAACAGTGGGGTCTATTGGGGGGAAAAGTGGAGGGCCAGTGGGAGGGGGAGGAGGGGAGGGATAGCCTGGGGAGAAAAGCCAAATGTGGGTGAAGGGGAGAAGAAAAGAAAGCACACTGCCATGTGTGTACCTACGCAACTGTCTTGCATGCTCTGCTCATGTACCCCAAAACCTATAATCCAATAAAAAATTTAAAAAAAAAATAAATAAATAAACAATAATAATATCTAGGGCCAAGTATTGTGCCACTGTTCTGTATTAAAATATGTACTTTAAGGCTAGACGCTACATCTTATTCTTTAATATACCTCCAGTGATTGTTAACAGACCTGGTACATAAAACACTTCTGGCTTTCAAAAGCATGAAAATATAGAATATATATATACAAAGCAAATTTCTGATATCAAATTTAGTATCATTATAAGAGGCAATTGAATAAAATTTCTGATCACGTTAACTGAATGTACAATACAATTTATCACTGTAAAAAGAAAACAGATGAGGGTTCCAGGCTGTTGTTTTAGAAACTGAATATTATATGCTTTATAGCTGAAACAATTTTAAACTAAGGTAAAGATCATCAATGGAAAGGCTTTTTTTGAAGCTTAATAAAAATCAGAGTGAAACAAAGAACCTAGTTAACTTGTATAAAACAGCAGAATGTTATTTTGATTAGCTTTAACAATACTTTAGATCTTCTATGTCTTAATGTAGGAGTAAAAACAAAAACCAACAAAAAACAAGATTAGGTATTTAACACTATTCAAACTAACACACAAATGTTTACCTCAGTCCCAAACACTTCAAAAATATGCTTTAAAGAATATGTAATATATATATTCCACCCTTGTGTACTTTTAATCCAATTAGATGCGATAGCAACCTTTAAGTTTTGCTAGATTTCAAGTATTCTGTTAGTTTTCATGAAGCTTGCTTAAGAACAATAGTTTCCATCCCATTTGCATGTATTAAACACACAAACACACACACAAACACACACACGCACGTGCGCACGCCCAAACTCAAGAAAGGAAAAGAGGAAGGGAAGAGAAAATTAGAAGAATGGGAGAAGTGAAGAGCTGAAAATGGGAGAGAGCAGGGAGGAGCTAGGAAAACAGAGAAGGAAAAGTATCAAGGGAAAAAATAAGCCTGATAAATGCCCTTACCTTCACTTGTTTTTTCTGCTTGTTTTGCTGCATTTTCTCCTTTTTTTTGTTTTGCTGCTAAGAGTTCCCGTTTTAACTGCCTTGCTTCTTTTCTGAGCTCTTCACTATAAAGCAAAAAGACTTATGTAAGTATATAATACACTGAGAGTAAAAGTTATTTAGCAAAACAGAATTGTTGGTATACTACATCTAAGAAAAATAAAGTGAATAATGTAATTCGTTTATTTTGTTTCTGTGTACATATACTTGTGGTATAGAAACACAAAGGATTTTAAAAGTTCTAATTTTTTCCTAATAGTAATATTAATTACTATTAAATATATCCCCTATCAAATTATAAGTGATTATAATGACCCGTTACCTTCCTAATTCACTAACAAATGTAACAGTCTAGTTTTAGTTTAATAATTTATGGTGATAGTGGATCAAAACAACATTTTTAATATAAATATTACTTATTTAATATGGACATACACAAAAAATTGGCTTCAAAACTGGTAGAATTCCTGAACTGATACCAGTAACTACCATTTATTAAGTAATTATTACATGCTAGGTGTCATGCTAAAAACTTTTAAAACTCATTTGATTTTTAAACCCAAGTTTTTAACTCATTTAATATTATAGTTTGGCATATAATTTCCTTTAATTTGCTGTTAAATCTATCAGGATGAGGTTTGATGATTAATACAATCATGTGTCAAAGACAAACTTAGAAGTAAATGTTGACTTCACTACAAGGCACTACCTAAGTGACTCGTTTCTCCACGTCAGTTTTAGGTCAGGAGATTCAAATTCATGCCTTGTAAAGAATTATTAACTGCTCATATTATAAACCCTTAGGGTTACTTGTGACTACTCAAGACTGTGCACATATTATCTATGAATGTACCCACTGTATTTTCAACAACATCTAGAGTGAATTATAAAAACGTAAAACCTATAAACCCAAGCAGGTACTCCACTCTGAAAATGGTTATCAAAGATATTCAAGCCAATGTTTAGTGGAATCTGAAGACCAGATAATCACATATCTGATTTAACCTTTAGTGCTTCTTTCTTATCTCATATCCTATACCTTTTTACCAACTGCCCTGTATTAGAGTTACCAAACTGCTGGGCCTTATGACATGTATAACTTAGTCCTTTTCATCTTTTTTTCCACATTAGACACACAACTATACTTTACATCTGCTTGGCCTCCAAGATCCTGAATTCTAAAACTTCCCTCAGTGATCAAAATCCACTACCTTTTTAACTTTTTTAGCCTTTCATTCCTACTAAACTTGCATGTACTCCCATAATAATGAAAGTCAATTGCTTAACTGTAATTCACGATCCATGAGCCCCACTCCAGCCCTAATTGGCTGTCTATCCATACTGGATGCTGTGACCAGTCATTCCACTGATGACCTCATCAGCACCCATAATTTCCTTGACTTGTTTGTCCTATGGATATATCATAATCACCTGGAAGAACCTGCTAGCAACATGTTGGGGAAGACAAACCTCCAGGGAATATAGTAACTTTAGATGTGGAATGCTGCCTGGAAATTTGCCCTTGTAACAAATTCCCCAGATGATGCCAGTATGTACTCAGGTTTGGGAACCAATGCTTTAGGATCTTATTATAGAAATTAACTTCTCTCTTTTGCAATTTCAAGCACTCCCACTTCATTGATCCTTTTATTCAGCAAACAAACATGCTCACATTTCTCTGGACTCGGCTCAAATCAAGTGATTATTATCTTCATAAATGGACTTCATTCTTGAAAGAATAGTTTACATATACAGTCTGCTTTATTAACCTGTAACTTCTTAAATTCTTGCAATCTATCCCTCATACACTCTACTCAAACTGCTTCTGTATCAACCAAATTCAATGGCCTTTTCTCATTGCTCCTCTTCTTTTATGGCCTCTATCATTCAATGATATTAATTACTCCTTCCTTCTCCTCTCTTCTTGGAATTCTATCCCAGTCAGGCTTAGATACCATTTTAGCATTTTTATCTCCAATTATTCTCCTAGTTACTCTTTTTCTTCCCATATTATAATTGTTTACAGTTTTCTCATCACTATTCTTTATGCACTGGCATTTTAGTCTAATCTCACTCCTATATAGGTTATTTCCAAATCTTGATTATGGTCCTCCATTTCTAACTTTTATAAATTCTGCCTAGATTAACTCAGAAATTTAAGGTAAGACACATACTGACATAGTTTAGCTATATCCCCACCCAAATCTCATTTTGAATTGTAGTTCCCATAATCCCCCTGTATTGTAGGAGGGACCTGGTGGGAAATAATTGGATCATGGGGGCAGTTTTTCTCAAGTAGTTCTCATGATAGTAAGTGAGTTCTCATGAGATCTGATGGTTTTATAAGTGTCTGGTATTTCCCCTGCTGGCACTCATTCTCTCTCTTACCACACTGTGAAGAGGTGCCTTCTGCCATGATTGTAAGTTTCCTGAGGCCTCCCCAGCCATGCAGAACTGTGAGTCAATTAAACCTCTTTTCTTTATAAATTACCCAGTCTTGGGTATGTCTTTATTAGTAGTGTGAGAACAGACTAATACACACAAAATTTTAAGTTTCCTAGTAGTCAGATTTAAAAACTAAAAGGAAACATTAATTTTTACATACTTAATATATCCAAAATATTATAATTTTAAAATGTAACCAATATAAAGAATATATATATATATTTTTTGAGATGGAGTTTTGCTTTTGTTACCCAGGCTGGAGTGCAATGGCGTGATCTCGGCTCACCGCAACCTCCGCTTCCTGGGTCCAGGCAATTCTCCTGCCTCGGCCTCCTGAGTAGCTGGGATTACAGGTATGCGCCACCATGCCCAGCTAATTTTTTGTATTTTTAGTAGAGACGGGGTTTCACCATGTTGACCAAGATGGTCTCGATCTCTTGACCTCACGATCCACCTGCCTCAGCCTCCCAAAGTGCTGGGATTACAGGCTTGAGACACCGCGCCCGGCCTATAAAGAATATTAATGTGATATTCTACACTCTCTTTTTGTACTCAGTCTTTAAAATCCAGTGTGCATTTTACACTTACAGCAAATCTCAATTCAGACTAGTCTCATTTCAAGGACTCAACTCCAGAGAAACCGCAGGCTAAACAACATAATCACAAATTCTTTATGTCCAAACCTAAAATCCTCTCCTTATTGCCCACATTTGTTCTTTCTTCCTTAAGTCTCTATTTGATCACGGAACCATTATCTTTCTAATGATCAGAATTTAAATTTCCCTTGGACTCTTTTCCCTTTCCTTGTATTGAATCAGTGTTGAAGTACATCATTTTCTAATCTCTCTCACGCATAACAGCTCCTCCTGATTCTAACCATCAATGCCCAGTTTAGGCTCTCATTACATATTCTCAGGTAAGTACAATTACTTCCTATTTCTTAAAGGTGTATGAACACGACTGTAGAAATTCCATATTTACTCAGCATGATATAAAAATGTAACTGGGTAGTCACTGTACAGGGACAGCAAACATATCTTCCATTTACTCCACCAAACATTCCTATCTTTTTATTATGCTACATTTTATGGTTTTCAATTTGGTAAGTAATTCAGTCAGTTGGATGATGTTTTCCAAAGACTAAGGTCTTTGAGGTAGAGATTATCTTGAGGGTTGAAGGGGAAATGTTGCATTTCTAGGCTAGACAAACTAGTTATGAGAATAATTTGACATATACAAATAATGAGGCAAAGAAAGTATATACTGTTTAAGACACTACTTTAGAGGGAGTAGAACATAGCTATTACAAGACTTAACTTTGGATTCAGAAAGTACTGATTTAAAAGCCAACTCTATCACTTATCAACCAGGTGACCTGAGAATAGCTACTTAACTTCCCTGAGACTCAGTTTATTCAACTATAAGTTAGGGATAAGGTATGTAAAATTTTGAGCACACCTTAAATGTTCAACAAATGGCAACTATCATGATTTAGGTCATCTATTTAAAATAGCACCACTGTTAAGAGTTGTCTGTCATATGGGCATAGTTCTTTATTATATTATTTATCATAAATGAATGTTATTTCTATTATATACAGTAACCAACTCTGTTCATTTTAAAAGGGCAGTGAATGCATAATGCTGGCTTCTAAAAATCTATCTTTAAATAGTCAAAGATTTAGACATACTATTGATGTAGCCATATAAAAATTGAGCAATGATGAATATACAAATTGAGCAATGATGAATATACAAATTGATATACAAATTGAGCAATGATGAATTAAAAACTCAAAAATGACAAGGTGAGACAGAGAAGGTTAGGTATTACAGATTATTAAAAATTGTTTCATTATGCTAAATTTTTCAAGTGATTGAAGATTTACAATGTTGTCAAAATCTTTGAGACTATTCAAGCAACACCAATTGTTAGTAGTAACTCTTGAAATGAAGTATAGGTTTTTAAATCAATCTTTAGATTAGAGTCTAATTTAGGATTCCCAATATTACATTCTCTGGAATATCATCCTATCCACTGGCATCAGAATATATTTATATATGTTTAAATGAGAACTAAAATTGTAAGTTTGGCAGTATATGTCACCATATACTGGTCACCATATACTGCCAAACTATGGGCTTACATTAGTGTCCAGACAGCATTGTCTTGGCCTCCTCAAAGCCTAGTCTCTGCTTAAATGGTAAAAGAAATGGCTTTTATAAACTGTTACTAACTCTAAGCCATTAATTGTTTTCCTCACAGTTATATTTCATTTGAATTTTAATATAGTTTGCATGACATCAGCATTTATCCACCAGATATTTCTGTATTACATATATTATTTATCTAGTAAATCTGCAATAAGTACTCCCTAATGGAAAGAGAATTTCTTAAAAAAATAGAATAAAATAAAATACCAGCAGCCTAGAAATAATAGTAGTTTTATATATTTAGTAATGGCAAAGAAATTACTAATTCATTTAGCAATTTTGGAACACCTAATATTTATATGGTAACATTCTGGGTACTGGCACAGAAATCAAGATGATTAAGAATGGGAACCTGCTGGGTGCGGTGGCGCACGTCTGTAATCCCAGCACTTTGGGAGGCCGAGGCGGGTGGATCACGAGGTCAAGAGATCGAGACCATCCTGGTTAACATGGTGAAACCCCGTCTCTACTAAAAATACAAAAAAATTAGCTGGGCATGGTGGCGCGTGCCTGTAATCCCAGCTACTCAGGAAGTTGAGGCAGGAGAATTGCCTGAACCCAGGAGGCGGAGGTAGTGGTGAGCCGAGATTGCACCATTGGCCTCCAGCCTGGGTAACAAGAGCAAAACTCAGTCTCAAAAAAAAAAAAAAAAAGAAAAAAGAAAAAAGAAAGGGAACCTTATTTTGCTAGGTTCTTTAAATCAATTACCTCCTCTATCACTTAATAATCTTTTAATGAACAGTGATACGGACATTTCATAGGTAAGAAGGCTGAGGTTTATGAAGATCAAATAAACACCTCATTTGAAGACACATAGTGAGTAAATGATAGAACTAGAAACTAGAAATGGGACTATCTGAACTCCAGGTCTATGCTCTTTCTGGACATTTCATGGACATCTTGAGAAAGTCTTCAATGAGCCTAAATCCCAAGGAGGGATATAAGCCATGTACATCAATAATAAAAACAGTACATAATAAAAAGCAGCAACCGCCAGGACAAATAAATTACTGAAGCAGTTTGAAATTCAGTGAAGAAAAGAGTACTGCAGGACAAATAAGGGATGGTCTCACAGAGGAAGCACATGAACTGGGCCCTGAAAGATAAGTAGGAATTAGCTATTTACAGAGAGAATGAAGAGGCATCCAAGCAGTCTATCTAAAGCAAGACAGCGAGATGGGAAAACAGGGTGCATGCTAAAACATGAAGGTATTTGGCTATTGCATAAAATAATTCAAAGTGGGGCAAGGTAACTAGTAATAAAAGATAGCGCTGGGAAAAGAATCTGGGATAAAGTATAAATGTCAAGCATTTATGAGAAGTGACAATATTTTCCTTTAATTTTTCCACACCTTTGGGCTTTCTTTTTTTTTTTTCTTTTGCAACCAATTTCTCAACTGCTGTTAGTGTCTTCATTTAACCCACTAGCCACCCATTTTAATACCTTACTAGCAATCCACAGACTCCTTAAATGGCTCTCTCAAAAGTAACTTATGACCTCTTAATCACAAATTTCAATGGCTTCCTATTAGATTGTAACTTAGACCCTGAAAAGAATCCAACTTTGTTGAACATCTTACCCATCTTTGCCCCTCCGCTATCTCAGACATAGTGTTGTCATGAGATCTTAGGACACTTATGATCTTATCCTCTTTGATATTCTTTCCCTGATTCCATTGGTTCTACTTTTCTACCTTTTTCTCTTCAAAATTAGATGCTACTCAACCTTCTTTCCTCTCTATAAATTTCATCTACACTTAGGACTTCAATTCCCTCTGTCTTAATGCAGCCAACATATAAAATCAAGATTATTAGTCTATGCTCTTTACACTTTCATTCTCAAGATTAAATTAATGTTTCTAACTGTCAGATGAGTAATTTCACTAGACACACCACAAATGTATCAAGTTTACCATTTTAAAAGTCAGATTGATAATGCAAGCAGGCTCCTCAACAAACACCAACTAATTCCTCTCTTCTATTTCTGATCCCACCTTCTAGTATCACTCTTTTAATTACTACATCTTTCATTTTTCCTTTATAAAGTCTCTTCCTTTCTGTGGTTAGTGACAGCAATCTAGTTTGGGCCATCAGGACTTCACCATTGCAAGATCTTCTACTTGGTCTATATGCCTCTGGTCTGACCTTTCTTCCATTCATTTTATAACATATATGCCAAATCCTACAGTTCTACTCCCCTGATCACTCATAGCTCCCTAAATCCTACTGAATTATGTACTAATTTCTTTCCTAGGTAATTAAGTCTCTATCACGACCCAACTTAATCTCCCACATATCCTCTATAGTTACCTTAAATTTCAGTCAAAACACACTAGTCACAATTACCTTGGCAAACTGAGCTTCAGTACACCTACTCCTTTGTTCATGCCATTTTTGCTACTTAAAATGTTGTTTTTCCCCTATTTCTGTCTACTAATCTTCTTCATCTTGTAAGCCTTCATGGAGAAAGTGGCACTTCAGTATAGCTTTGGGGAAAGTTGTCAACTTCATGGATCCTCAGTTTTCACATCTATAAATTGTGTCTGTATTCAATATATGTAATATGCAAAACTGACGCAAAGATTTGGGATTAATAGGTAGGCAGACAACCAGGTGCCTTTTTTTTCTTCTCTATCTGTAACCCAGGACAGTGCTGACTAACAGGTGCTTAGAAGGTATTTATTTTATATTCAAAATATGCTACAGCCAACTCATGACTTTTAAATTACATTAGCAATTTAAAGAATTAAAACTGTGAAAATTAATGATAAAGTGATACTAATTATTACACTAAAGATATCTACTCTAATGCCAGGGATAAATTATTTTCTTCCTTTTAAAACGAATGTCACCTTATAGCATTCTAAATGATTAGACAAAGCATATGGGTGGGGGTTATGGGAAGAAATGTGTTTACCAAAAGACACAGATTCAACATCATTATTTGGCCCATGAAAAGGCAATTAGTTCTTCTTCTTTGCCTCAGTTTCATCATCACAGAAAAATATTCTAAGTAAAGCAAAAGATAGTATTTCTAAAATTATGAGTGTAAAACATTATGCCACGCAGATCATTTTATTTTAATTCCTTTGGATTTAGCCTTTTAAAGCACATTATGAATTAAAATTATTTCCTTAAATTATTTTCATTCACATCTAAGTAGTGAGATGCTAAATGTTGACTTTCATCCTAGACACAAAAAAGCTGAAGTATAGAAATAGCAAGAGATTTTTCCAAGTTATCCAAGTCAATAATAGAATTTCAACATGATACTGAAATCTTAATTCTTTTTTTTTTTTCAGGTGACACTTTTTAATCAGATGGTGTCTTTGGAGAACTTTATCAAGAGTCACATGTGGGCCAGAGCAGCAAGCAGAAGCCCAGTACTCAGGGTGAGGCCTCACTGAAACAATGGCTGGGTGGGAAGTCAGCGATGGCTGAAGAATCCCTGAGGATGGTTGTATTTAAACGGCTTCATCCTGCCAGGATCCCTGAAGAGCTGCAGACACATCTTCTCCTGGGGCAGTTCCTTCGGTCCTTCCACACTGTCGTCATGGTTCTCGGTCTCCAGATAAACATCCAGCAGCACACACAGCTGCTGCAGATGGTTAGTCAACAGCTGGTGGCTGGGCCAAGGGCCACACAGCTCCTTGCAGCAAACATTGACTTCGCTCTCCATGGCCTGAATGTTGTCTCATTGCTGTTTGTTTTCTCCCCTTTCCAGTTCAAACAGAGCTGAAAAATATGTGGGATGGAGAAGTAGCCAGGGTACAACACCACAGCAGCCTGCAGTGTGGCTCTGCTCCTTTTGATGACTGCCATGTAGTAGAGATTGGTGCCCCCAGCCAGCCCCATATCCACAATGTCTTTAGTGAAATGCAGCTCCATGTAATCCTCATGAGAAACTGTCATCCACTTCACCAGGCGAGAGACAACCTTGGCAGGGAAGAGGTACTGGCAATCACTGGTAACTGGCACAATGCCATGTTCTAGGGATAAAAACTGTTTGTGGAGGGCCAGGTGGGACTGCACCCTGTTCTTCTGAAGTTTCATGGTGGTCTCCATGTGGCTGGCACTCAGTGAGTGGCCAGAAATCACTGTTTGCTGGCACTGCTCTTTGGGAAAGTGGAGGCCATCCAGCTTCTGTACCCATAAATAGGAGTGACCTAACTCAAGTACATAGTTGCTCAAAGTCAGGATGCCAACTTTATCAAACTGACACTGATTGGCTGGATTTGGAGGTTTTTTTCCATGATCCCCAGGATACAAGCAACTCAGGACTAAGTCAGGAGACAGCAAGTCACCTGCACTGATGGGGATGATCAGCTCCATGGCAGTTGTCACTTTGGCTTTTACTGTCATGATATTGAGGTTCATGAGGTAGAAGAAAGTCAGGTGAAGCACACTGTCATCTTTGCACTTCAGGTCAAGCATGACGGATGGTGGGTGACTCGTCTGCATCTCCTTGTGTTTGTCATCCAGCTGAATCCCCAGCGTGGGTCTCCAGTGTTTCGTGGTCTGCTCCTCCTCAGCATCCGAGTCACTCTCGTCATCTTGGGAGTCCTCTGGAGGCTTAAACAGAGCCTTGGCTTTGTCCACTCTTCCTTCAATTGCCACAGATAATGTCTTATCACAGACCTGCCCATATGCAGTGGCCTGAACAGAAAGGACATAGAAGGGAGGCGGCAGGTACCTGGCTGTCTCATACTGCTTGTGAGCCTGGTCAAATGGCATAAACAGGTCCTCCTGCACTGGAAGGGAAGCCTGCATGATGCTGTTGAGGCACAGCTGGAGACTGCTCAGGTACTCCTTCTTCACCTCAATTTCCTTGAGGATCTTCTCCTTGTTGGATAGGCATTCACGGTACTCCTCTGACAGCCTTTCACACTGCTCCAGCTCCCAGTCCAGACGTGCAAGTGTTTGCTGGTGAGGGTCTCCCACGGTGACTTCAGCCTTGCTGATATCTTGTGGAGCCTCCTTATAAAACTCCTCTAAACTTACCCGATAAATTTCTTCATGCTTTGACTTAAACTCCAAACATTTGGTGATCTCCTTCTGTAGGTGCATCACCTCATACAACAGGTTCTGGAACTGCAGGTGATAGACATTTACTTTCTGCTTAGCCTCATGGGTCTGATCTCTTCCTTTCTTCAACCTGATGTGGGCTAATCGGTTAAGCTTTCTCAAAGTCATGAAATGCACACAGCTCTGGATCCTCTGTTCTTCTATTTCAATTGCCACATCCTTGCCACCCCCACTCTTCATGTCTTAGATCTCAGCTATCAGCCTCTGTAGCTCCTGATGTCTTGTATAACTCATAGTCTCTGCCAGGGTCCTGCAGATCCACCTCAGCCTCCTCACTGTAGTATTTACCTTCCTCCTCGGTGTCAGATCAATTCCGCTTTCCCTCAGCTGGGGCTTCATTGCTTTGGATCACTGTGGGCTTCCATTTTTTGCTTGATTCTGATGACAGGGTTGTTGCTTGATGTCAAGAGGAAACAGCAGAGACCTCACAGCTCCGCGAACTTGGGACTGGGGATCTCTTAATTCTTTATGCAGTTTCACTTAACCTGCTAAACATCTACTAAGTGAAAAGTAATTTTAGACTCATATCTTACCTTTAAATTAAATATTTTATTTATTTACAATTTTTATTGATTTATAATATTTGTACATCTTATGTACATGTGGTATTTTGTTACATGCATAGAATATGTAATGGTAAAGTCAGGATATTAAGGATATCTATCACCTTGAGTACCTAACACTTCTATGTGTTGCGTACATTTTGAGACTTCCCTTCTAGCTATTTTGAAATACATAATCCATTATTGTTAACTATAGTTACCCTCCTCTGCTATTGAGCATTGAAACTTATTCTATTTGTTTGTACTCATTATCCAATCTCTTTTCATCCCCCACAGCACACAAACCCAGATGCCTCTGGTATCTATCATTCTACATTCTATCTCCATGAGATTAAGTTTTTCAGCTCCTACATGATTGAGAATACAATATTTGTCTTTCCGTGCCTGGCTTATTTCACTTAACGCAATGACCTCTTGTTCCATTCATGTTGCTGCAAATGATAGGATTTTATCCTTTTATGGCCAAGTAATATTTCATTGTGTATTTATTTATACCAGAGTTTCTTTTTTCCATTCATTCATTGATGGACTCCTAAGTTGAATCCATAGCATGGCTATTGTGACTAGTACTGCAATAAACAAGAAGGTATAGATATCCCTTTGATATAACAATTTCTTTTTCTTTAAATAAATATCCAGTAGAAGGATTTAAGCTGAATATATTCTGTACAACAGGAGATACTATAAATAATGACATAAGAAACTTTTTATTACTACAATGCCAATATATTTACAATTTTTATTAGACTATTCATATTACTTGATTAAAATAGTGTTTTAAAATCCTGCAATTTTTTTTTAACTGCGCAACTTTTGAACACGAGATTGAGGATTTAAAATGGCAATATCAAGTATCTTGCATAACTGTCAGTCAGTTTTCATTTTTTCCCAGATGCTCTTTTCATTTTCTTCAGTTTCTAGGAATGTGCCTTAGGAAAATTTTTAGTTATATCTATTATTTTTTCTTATGTCATGAGAAATATTATTTTAATGTAAGGGTGATGAAGTCAAGCACACATCTTCTCTAATATTCAAATTTAAAAAATTGATAAAGATTATCAAGACCTGAGTATTTGACATGCTGTTGAAGAAATCTTAAATCTACATAAGCGGAATATGTTTAAGTTTCTTAAATATGACGGTAAATGAATTTGCTTGCAGGCCTTGTTAAAGAAGCTGATGGTTAAACACATGCCCATTACAGATCATTGTTTCTTGGACCTTTGATGTAGCACTTGCAGTTAGTTTAAGCCTGCTATTTCCCAACATCTGGTAAGAATTCATAACACAAGGAACTGACTGAAAAACAAACAGTATACCCTTCATGGTTTTTAGTCTGCTGCTTTAATCACAAAGATACCCAATCTGTTTGTAGTGAAATAGCTCAGCTATTGACAAAATCATAAAATAGCTGAAATAAAAGCCCATTATATATATTAAAATTATAGATGTTTTGCACAATTTTTAGACTTATGGTATCATCAGCTATAGCAGAGATGTAGATTTACCATATTTTAAAAAGTGCCAAAATATACTGTAATTTATACACATATTTTGAAAATATATACTTACATCATGCAAATATCTAACAAAATTTAATCAATGAAACTCCACTGTGTGTTCGAAGCTCTGTTTTACCTATTACTAGCAGTAGAGCATTGGAAAACTAAGTTAACCAATCTGAGCCTCATTTTACTTATATAGAAATGAAAAGAATAGTAGGTTGCTGTAAGAAAGAACTAAGATTCTATGGAAATTATTTAGCATACTTAACAGAGTACTTGGCCCAAGAAACTACTAAATAGAAATTTGCTTCTCTTATTATGATTGCTGTCACCTCCACAGCTACTACTATTCATATCCTTGCTATTTACAGAATCTATTACTGACAAAATAAGATCTCAGTCTAACAAAAGAGATAAAGCAAGTTTTTCCACTGTTTCCATGGATACACAGATTTCAAAAGCAAGATTAGTTTTTGTTTTTGGGGCATTGCTTAAATTAAATATATGCTATGAAAGTGAGAAACATAATAGTTTTAAAAAACTAAAAATGACAAAATTCTCATATCCTAATTCTGGTCACTAAATGTTTGAAACTGAATTGATTATTTTCCTTCATTATAACCTAGCTGAAAAGATAAGGAATTAGTGAGTTAACAAAGACATGCATACATACTTAGAAATTCTATGAGGGACATTACCAGAGAACCTACCTTATTTTAGTCTAAGTGATCCTGAAAGGTATCTATCAAAAGATTACATTTAATCTGAGAGCTAATGTTCTATGTGCCGTTTATAATCTGCTACACCACTACTTATGAATAGAAAGACTATATCCCTATCTTTAAATATATTGCAATTTAGAAAGAAAAGGAGAAATCTAATTACACTTGTATATACTCTTTAAACTTAGAATCTTACTCTTTTCATATGAAAGATCACGTGTATTTTTAATGAAAAGATTAGAAATCTAATGTAGATTACCCCAATCTTTGTAAGATCTCTTTCAAATCATAGAAACTTTTATTCTTTTTCAAAACACACTAAACAACAGTGTACCCTAAACAAAATCATAAAGTGTCCATAATATCAGCAGGTGATGTTGCTATTCTGTCTAAGTACCAAGTAAAAATCTCAGAATCAAACATGTTATTTCATAACAAAAATGTGGCTTGGCCAAAATTTCACAGAAATGGAGTACATTTGCCTTGGCAGAAATCCAGTCTTCAGCCAAATGTCTATTTCACAATCCAACTTTACAAATGATATTAATTAAATATGAAAAACAAATTGGGTTTCCATTTCTAGTAAGGCAGCATACCAGATAACCTGAAACTCTCTTGCGACCCAACACATAGAAGTGCTGAATAACAGTACATTTTTAAAAACACCTTTAAAAAAAGGTCCAGGTCAAGATGGGTTCACAGCTGAGTTCTACCAGATGTACAAAGAGGAGCTGATACCATTCCTTCTGAAATTATTCCAAACAATACAAAAAGAGGGAACACTCCCTAACTCATTTTATGACACCAACATCATCCTGATACCAAAATCTGGCAGAAACACAACTAAAAAAGAAAATTTCAGGCCAATATCCATGATGAACATCCATGCAAAAATCTTCAAACCGAATGCAACAGCACATCAAAAAGCTTATCCATCAAGTATGCTTGATGTGATCAAGTATGCTTCATCACGGGGACAAGGCTGGTTCAACATACGCAAACTTATAAACGTAATCCGTCACATAAACAGAACCAAAGACAAAAACCACATGATTATCTCAATAAATGCAGAGAAGGCCTTCAACAAAATTCAGCAGCCCTTTATACTAAAAACTCTCAACAAACTAGGTATTGATGGAATGTATCTCAAAATAATAAAAGCTATTTACAACAAACCCATAGCCAATAACATACTGAATGGGCAAAAACTGGAAACATTCCCTTTGAAATCTGGCACTAGACAAGGGTGCCGTCTCTCACAACTCATATTCAACATAGTATTGAAAGTTCTAGCCAGAGCAATCATGAAAGAGAAAGAAATAAAGGGTATTCAATTAGGAAAAGAGGAAGTCAAATAGTCTCTATTTGCAGATGACATCATTGTACATTTAGAAAATCCTATCGTCTCAGCCCAAAATCTCCTTAAGATGATAAGCAACTTCAGCAAAGTCTCAGAATACAAAATCAATGTGCAAATATCACAAGCATTCCCATACACCAATAACAGAGAGCCAAATTATGAGTGAACTCCCATTCACAACTGCTACAAAGAGAATAAAATACCTAGGAATAAAACTAACAAAGGATGTGAAAGACCTCTTCAGAAAGAACTACAAACCACTGCTCAAGGAAATAAGAGAGGACACAACCAGATGGAAAAACATTCCATGCTCATGGTTAGGAAGAATCAATATTGTGAAAATGGCCATACTGCCCAGAGTAATTTATATATTCAATGCTGTCCTCATAAAGCTACCATTGACCTTCTTCACAGAACTGGAAAAAAAACCATCTTAAATTTCATATGGAACCAAAAAAGAGCCTGCATAGCCAAGACAATCCTAAGCAAAAAGAACAAAGCTAGAGGCATCACACTACCTGACTTCAAAATAGACTGCAAGGCTATAGTAATCAAAACAGCATGGTACTGATACCAAAACAGAGATATAAACCAATGGAACAGAACAGAGGCCTTGGAAGTAATGCTACACATCTACAACTATCTGATCTTTGACAAACCAGACAAAAATAAGCAATGGGGAAAGGATTCCCTGTTTAATAAATGGTGTTGGGAAACTGGCTAGCCATGTGCAGAAAGCTGAAACTGAACCCCTTACTTACATCTTCTACAAAAATTAACTCCAGATATATTAAAAATTTAAACGTAAAACCAAACACTGTAAAAACCATAGAAGAAAATCTAGGCAACACCATTCAGGATGTAGGCATAGGCAAGGACTTCATGACAAAAACACCAAAAGCAATAGCAACAAAAGTCAAAATTGACAAATAAGATCTAATTAAACTTAAGAACTTCTGCACAGCAAAAGAAATAATCATTAGAGTGAACCCACAACCAACAGAATGGGAAAAAATTTTTGCAATCTACCCATCTGACAAAGGGCTAATATCCAGAATCTATAAAGAACTAAAACAAATTTACAAGAAAAAAACACAAACAACCATATCAAAAAGTAGGTGAAGGATATGAACAGACACTTTACAAAAGAAGACATATATGAGGCCAACAAACATCTGAAAAAATGCTCATCATCACTGGTCATTAGAGAAATGCAAATCAAAACCACATTGAGATACCATTCATGCCAGTTAGAATGGTGATTATTAAAAAATCTGGAGACAACAGATGCTGGAGAGGATGTGGAGAAATAGGAACACTTTTACACTGTTGGTGGGAGTGTAAATTAGTCCAACCATTGTGGAAGACACTGTGGTGATTCCTCAAGGATCTAGAAATAGAAATACCCTTTGACCCAGCAATCCCATTACTGGGTATATACCTAAAGGATTATAAATCATTCTATTATAAAGACACATGCACACACATGTTCATTGCAGCACTGTTTACAATAGCAAAGACTTGGAACCAACCCAAATGCCCATCGACGACAGCCTGGATAAAGAAAATGTGGTACATATATACCATGGAATACTATGTAGCCATAAAAAGGATGAGTTCATGTCCTTTGCAGGGACTTGGATGAATCTGAAAACCATCATTCTCAGCAAACTTACACAAGAACAGAAAACCAAACATTGTAACTTCCCAATCATAAGTGGGTGTTGAACAATGAGAACACACGGACACAAGAAGCGGAACATCACACACTAGGGTCTGTTAAGGGGTAGGGAGCTAGGGGAGGGAGAGCAGGGGGTGGGGAGATTGGGGAGGGATAACATAGGAGAAATACCTAATGTAGGTAAAGGGGGGATAGAGGCAGCAAACCACCATGGCATGTGTATACCTCTATAACAATCCTGCAAGATCTGCACATGTACCCCAGAACTTAAAATATAATACAACAAACAAACAAAAAGGTATTAACATGCCTGTAAAGAACAGAATTAACCTATATATGAATATAGACTTAAATGCAAAAATGAAATTCCATATAGAAATTAAACCTTAAAAAAAAAAACCCTTTAATACATATGTTTAGCTCACTAGAAATCAAGGGAATTGGCCGGGCGCGGTGCCTCAAGCCTGTAATCCCAGCACTTTAGGAGGCCGAGACAGGTGGATCACGAGATCAAGACCATCCTGGTCAACATGGTGAAACCCCATCTCTACTAAAAATACAAAAAATTCGCTGGGCATGGTGGCGCGTGCCTGTAATCCCAGCTACTCGGGAGGCTGAGGCAGAAGAATTGCCTGAACCCAGGAGGCGGAGGTTGCGGTGAGCCGAGATTGCGCCATTGCACTCCAGCCTGGGTAACAAGAGCGAAACTCCATCAAAAAAAAAAAAAGAAATCAAGGGAATTATGCATGGTTTGAAAAATGAGGAGGGGGACTGAAAACCAGAGCAATAAGCATTGGGATTATTATTTGAACACTCTGAGTTACTGGTCTCAGTAACCTAGAAATGCAGATTTTAATAATCACAAGGGTAGAACTAGTACTCTTGCACACAAAGCTAGGCATTTCCACTTATTTAAAGGATAGAAATAAACAAATCTACGAATAAACACAGGATGACCACAAAGAAGCTTGTCTGTCTCAGATCCAAGCAGGTAAGAAGGCTTATTAATAATAAAACTAATTAATAAGCTCAGGTATCTGGGAGTACTTTTAATTAAAATCATCAGTGATCTGTAGTACTCTATTGCACCTGTTAGAACCAAAGGTTAAGTCCTCTCTGAAGGAAGGTGTCCTCAAGCCATATTTCTCAGAACTCTGAAAGGTGATAATAGAGTTTATTTATCCCCTCTAAATCTCAAGTTGAAATTTAATCCTGTATTGGAGGTAGGGCCTGGGAGGTGTTTGGGTCATGGTGGTGGATCCCTCATGAACAGTGGTGCCACTGTCACTGTAATAAATGAGTTCTCTATCAGTTCCTGTGAGAACTGATAAAGAGAGCCTGGTAGCCTCTCCCTCTCTCACTTTCTCTCACTGTCTGCTTCTCTTCACCTTTCACCATGAGTGCAAACTTCCTGAGGCCCTATCAGAAGTAGATAACAGCACCACGTTTCTTGTACAGCCTGTATAACTATGAGCCAAATTAATCTCTTTTCTTTATAAATTATCCAACTTCAGGTATTCCTTTATAGCAACATAAATGAATGAATTCTAAAAATATATTAGCACTCAATAAAAAGATTTTGTAATATGTAAAAAAAAAAGTATTGTAGTAAGAATCAGTGGAACAACAACTAATAGAACCTGACACTCGAACCTTCAGATACTGCAAAAAAAAAAAAAAAAATGTGTGTTCATTATATAAAGAGAATGAGAGAGAAGGAATAAAAAAATTGAATAAGAGGCCTATAACTTAAATAAGAACAAGGTTGGGCGTGGTATAGGCTCACACCTGTAATCCCAGCACTTTGGGAGGCCGAGATGGACAGATCATGAGGTCAGGAGATTGAGACTATCCTGGCTAACATGGTGAAACCCCACCTCCACTAAAAATACAAAAATTTAGTCGGGGGTGGTAGCAGGTACCTGTAATCCCAGCTACTTGGGAGGCTGAGGCAGGAGAATCGCTTGAACCTGGGAGGCAGAGGTTGCAGTGAACCGAGATCCTGCCTCTGCACTCCAGCCTGGCGACAGAGACTCCATCTCAACAACAACAACAACAACAATAACCACCACCACCACCACCACAAGTTCTAGAAAGTATAAATAGAATCATTAAAGTCAAATTCAGTGAAGAGTTGAATAGCTGAAAAAACATAGCTGAAGAGAGAAAATTTGTGGACTAGGAGATATATCTGAAAACACACATAACATAGGATGAAAAACACAAAAACAAGCACAAGTATGAGAGGTTAAAAGACATGGAAGACAGAGTGAGAAGACCTACTACATGTATAAATGGAATTGCAGAAAGAGAAAACTGAAAGATTGAGATTGAGGCAATATATGAATTAATAACATCAAATAATTTTCCAGAATTTATGAAAAACACTAGTCCTCAAATTCAGGAAGATCAATGAATTCTAAGCAGATAGGTAAAAAGAAAATCCTCATGTAGACATATCATAGTAAAAATGCAGAGTATCAAAGAAAAGGTGGTCTGAAACCAACCAGCATACATTAATTAGACTAAATCATTTAAAATTAAGCTCATGTTTTTCTTTGACAGAGAAAGAAGTAAACAATTTAATTCAATTAATTAAAAATAAACTCACTTTCACTTTCTTTCTTATCTACTATTATCTTTCAATAAACTTCCCATTCACAGGCTTCATGTTTTTCTTATGAAATTGTTTATATAGTATCCACAGTAAATTTGTTATATTTTCATGCAAATATTTTTCCAGTTTATTGTCCTGCTTATTGAAATTCAGTTATGTTTTACTACATAAAAATATGTGCTTTAAATTTTTATACAATGAAAACCTTTTATGTAAAGTTCTTTATCCATTTGAAAGGACATAATAAATCTATTTATTTCTGATTTTTAAATCCCTAGCCTAATAGCACTGATGTAGTGCTGCAGTATACCTTATTTTAGAGTCCTGTATTATAATATATAAAGATTTTTTTATATATGGTAGCCTACATTCTGAATATTGCAATGTGTATTCTTTGATTTCATTAGCCTAAGTTTCTACCATTAAGTCAGTGGCATCTGGGAAGCCTACATTTACGCTAAAACTAATAATATTTATATTCTTGCCCATTTGTTTTCTGTAACATCTCAGAATAATTCTGTAGATTTAAAAACATTATCAGAACTATGGTGAAACTCTACTAACTTGAAGAAGATTAAATGTTTTAACAACCAGTAATGTCACATTCTTTTCCTATTAAATCAACTAAAAAGCTTTTATAATATTTTCCTTCCCACAAATGTAAAAGTCAGTTTAAAAAAAAACCACTTGTATTTGTTACTATTATATTTCCAACTTGTTTAGTGTACAGTCAGACCTCCATATCTGTGGATTCAACCACTCACAGATTGAAAATATTCAAGGAAAAAAAGTGCATTTGTACTGAACATATAGAGACTTAGACTATTTCCTTGTCATTATTCCCTCAACAATATAATATTACAATTATTTACACAGTATTTACATTGTATTCATTTTTTTTTTTTTTTGAGACAGAGTCTCACTCTGTTGCCCAGGCTGGATAGAGTGCAGTGGTGCGATCTCAGCTCACTGCAACCTTTGCCTCCTGGGTTCAAGCAATTCTTCTGCCTCAGCCTCCTGAGTAGCTGGTACTACAGGTACATGCCACTACAGCTGACTAACTTTTGTATTTTTAGTAGAGACAGGGTTTCACCATATTGGCCAAACTGGTCCTGAAGTCCTGATCTTGTGATCCGCCCACCTCGTCCTCCCAAAGTTCTGGGATTATAGGCATGAGCCACAGTGCCTGGCACTGTATTAGGTTTTATAAGTAATCTATATATATTTTAGGCATCTGCCAGTCACATCACCCACATCATGCTGGCTGAACAGAGGCCCAAAAACCTGCCCACCCACCTGGCCCACCATTGCTACCATCAGCATTTGAGTAAGCCATCTGCAGGCCCAAGAATCAGCCCACCGAGACCTGCTAACAATGGTGCCAGCGTATACCACCTTGGGCCCAGGTAAAGGCATGTTCAACCCACTGCTACACCAACGAGGCCCAAAAGCTGGCTTACTTAGTGTTCCAGTCTCCCACAAAACTTTATCACAGCCTGAACTACTAATTGCACCCCAAACCACTGAGGAAATCACAGACACTATTGACAATGCTTATAGCCAAATAAGTCATACACAGACTACACTACTGTACAAACCCAGAATCAAAGCCAAGCACCCTACCCAGCCACCAACATAGTTATATCCACAAGAAAAAGTCCTCCTTATAGAAGTAAATTCAAAAAATTGGAAGTAGTGGCTACTGCATCAGATGTACAGCATCAATATAAGGACACAGGAAACATGAAAAAGAAGGGAAATAGTACACTTTCAAAAGAACACTATAATTCTCTAGCAACATATTACAATAAAAAACCAATTTTAAAAATTCCAGAAAAAGAATTAAAAATTTTGATACCAGGCTGGGCACAGTGGCTCACACCTATAATCAATCCCAGCACTTCAGGAGGCTGAGGCAGGCAGATCACGAGGTCAGGGGATTGAGATCACCCTGGCCAACATGATGAAGCCCTGTCTTTACTAAAAATACAAAAATTAGCTGGGTGTGGTGGCGCGTGCCTATGATCCCAGCTACTCGGGAGGCTGCGGCAGGAGAATTGCTTGAACCACGGATGACGAAGTTACAGTGAGCTGAGATCACACCACTGCACTCCAGCCTGGGGGAGAGTGAGACTCCATCTCAAAAACAAACAAACAAACATACAAAAAACATAATACCAAAAAAGCTCACTGAAATAAGAGAAAATTCAAAAACACAATACAAAGAAATCAGAAAAAGAATTCAGGATATAAATGAGAAATTACATCTATCAAAGAGATAGATATTATAGAAAGAGAATTGAACAAAAATTCTGGGACTGAATAATTCATTCAATGCAATACAAAACACATTCAAAAGCATCAACAGCCTGGGAGTGGTGGCTCATGCTTGTAATCCCAGCACTTTGGGAGGCTGAGGTGGGAAGATCACCTGAGGTCAGGAGTTCAAGACGAGCCTGGCCAACATGGTGAAACCCTGTCCCTACTAAAAATATAAAATTTGCCAGATATGGTGGCATGTGTCTGTAATCAGAGGCTGAGGCAGGAGAATTCCTTGAACATGAGATGTGGAGGTTGCAGTGAGCTGAGATTGTGCCACTGCACTCCATCCTGGGCAACAGAGCAAGACTCTGTCTAAAAAAGCAAAAATGAAACAAAACAAAATCGGCTGGGCACGGTGGCTCACACCTGTAATCTCAGCACTTTGAGAGGCCGAGGAGGGCAGATCACCTGAGGTCAGGAGTTTAAGACCAGCCTGGCCAACAGGGTAAAACCTCGTCTCCAATAAAAATACAAAAATTAGCAGGATGTGGTGGCACACACCTGTAATCCTAGCTACTCAGGAGGCTGAGGCAGAAGAATCACTTAAACCTGGGAGGCAGAGGTTGCAGTGAACTGAGATTGTGCCACTGCATTCCAGCCTGGGCAACAGAGTGAGATTTCATCTCAAAAAAAAAAAAAAAAAAAAAAAAAAAGAAGCAGCAAACAATAGACTAGATCAAGCAGAAGAAAGAATCTCAGAATTTGAAGACAGATCTTTTGAAATAACACAATCAGAAAAATATCAAGAAAAAAGAATTTTTAAATGAGCAAAGCCTTCATGACACATGGGACATCATAAATTGACAAATATAAGTGAATTATCACACATATTTACAGTCAACCTATTTTCAACAAAGGCACCAAGAACATACACTGGGAAAAAAATACCCTCTTCAAGAAATAGTGCTGGGAAAACATGCGCAAGACTAAAACTAGATTGCTGTCTCTAACCATAAACAAAGATCAGCTCAAGATGGATTAAAGACTTAAACATAAGACCTGAGACTATAAAATTACTTAAAAAAAAACCTCGGGAAAGCACTTCCAGACATTGGTTTAGGCAAAGGTTTTAGATCTAAGACCTCAAAATCACAGAACAACTGAAACAAAAATAGACAAATGGGACTATATTAAGCTAAAAGGCTTCTGCAAAGCAAAGGAAATAACAAAGTGAAGCAACAACCTGTTGAATGGGAAAAAATATCTGCACACTACTCATCTGCCAAGCAGCTAATATCCAGAAAATACAAAGAATTCAAGCAACCCAACAACAGCAACAATAACAATAAAACCCAAATAATCCTATATAAAAATGAGCAAAGGATAGGAACAGACATTTCTTAAAAGAAGATATACACTATCTTAATTTAAGAGAGAAAAGGGTCTATTGCTATAATACTTTGAATTTTGGTGTAGGAAAGGAACTATTATTCATCACAGAGAAGTCCTATTTATATTTAATATTTTTATTAGAAGGAACATTGTTTTGTTACTTAATTTGTATTTAAATAATTGAAATACTTCTTGTTTAATTTATTAATATACATATTGCATTAATAGACTTCTCTTAATTCATTGACCAGTACTGTACTTGGATAAAAGCTTTCTCTCTTTGGCTATTTTTAAAATAATGCTAATAAGTGAACAAAACAAAACAAAAAGCTTATGCATTCCTTTTGAACCAGTGTTCACTGAATACTTTTAGGTGTGTTGCGGTTTTGGGTTTTCATTTTCTTTTCTTTCTGCTCTACTGCCTTAATATTTTATACTGGGTAGGCATCATTTTCATTTAAAAAACTGAAGTCATTTGGAAAAAAAGTAATGAACTACATTTATTACAGTATCCAACACTGTGACTCAATATGTTGTTGGTGCTAAATGAATATATACTAAGGGAGAAAGAGTATAGGATACTAATCCTGGAACCCATCAGAGGGAAATGTGGGGTTTTGGGAAAAGGAGAAACTTTGTGAGAAGACAGATGTCTAAAATATAGCAAATAGAACAAAAATCACTGAGATAAGAGCATCAGATAGAATGATGTCAGTTAGGATTTAAAGAGGATGAGGTCATTTTTCTGAAGGCATACTTGGTAACAGATAAGTATTATGTAAATTCTTTAAGATTTTCCATTTCCCACAGTATTCTTGCCTTGTTAAATTTGCTTTACTGACATCAAAACACTTTCAACATTATGTAAAAAAGTGAATATATGGACAAATGATTTTAAATATAGTACATGGTATAGGTTAAATAAGAAAAAAACAAGGTGGAAGTTTTTCTGGCATTCATCTAGACTTTCATCAGCATAGATCAAAATGATATAAAATGGCTTCTAGAACATCATAAGCATTTACAAAGTGTTTCATAAATGGAGCTGCATATAAGTGATTCTCCTGAATTACTTAAATTTTCACATTTAACATTTAGGAACTTTTGGCCCTGCCTCTCTCATCCAGTGCAGGCACAGACATTGAGGTGCCTCCTTCACATGCAAGCCCATTCCACCCAGCTCCTGAACCAGTTATGGACAACAGATGTATCATGAATATCTATTCTACTCAAGGACAAGGCCTAAAATGAGTCATTTTGTTTGAGGTGCACCTATTCCTCATAACCTGAAACACTCCTCTCTCTTCCACTTCCCTTCTCCTCATAACTCGTAATCATCCTTCAGATCTTAGTTTCCATGCCATGTTCTCCACAAAGACTTTTCTGAACTCTCAATACTGACACACAAGCTCCCTATATTTATCCTTACCTTAGGTCTATAATCAAGGTATACCTAATGAGGCCTTCCTTACAAAACACAGTATGATGTTGATGATGATATTATGATTATAATGCATTTTTCAAATTCTAAATCCAGACTTTTTCCTCACTGCATGGGTTGAAGTTCCCAAGTCTCCCTGGAAGTTCTTTGCTTGATTTTTCAAGACAGAAGAGCCATTAGATAAATGGTGCTTTTGCTCACCTGACCTTGAAAATTATCTTTTCTTACTGCCTTTTCTAACTGACAAAGTTGGACTCTCTTGGTAGAGATGCCTGCCCAAATCAAGTGTATTACATCTTTTTGACCCTGGGACTCTGTGATTTGCTTGCCTGCAAGTCCCTGCCCAAACTAGAGCAAGAGTAATATTTTAAAACTAAAGTTTGATCTCATCATTTCCTTGCTACGGTGACCCTTAATTCTCAAAGTCCAGACTCCTTAAGACTATAACTTTCTTCATGGTCTCAGCTCTGCTTTATTCTCCATCTTTATCTCTTGCCTCACTTTTTGCATATATTTCCCCCACATCCTAAAATCCTGTTAGTTTTCAGAATGTATAATATAATCTTTGACACCGATTCCTCATGATCTAAAACACTTTTCTCCACTTCTCTTCTGCTCATAACTCATAATCATTCTTCAACTCTCCGCTTCCGTGCCATATGCTCCACAAAGATTTTTCTGGACTCTCAATACTGATGCACAAGCTCCCTTTATTACCCTTACCATCACGCTTACTATATTGTATTTTAGCAGCCTGTTTATTTCTTTGTAATCTCCAGTAGTTCAAGAAAACTGTGTCATTTCACTTTTGCAACTCCAATAACTAGCACCACATCTGGCATAAAATTAGTGTTCAATACTCAGTAAGTATATAAAAACAAATTAAATTGTTGGTAGTGCTAATCACTCTGTGAGATTCCCTACAGCTGCAATTTTTTTGTTATTATGTCATGGGAATTTTTTTTAAAGGTACAAAAAAAATCAGTTATATTAAGCACTGGGAAAATGTATCATTGCTAAATGTGTGCACCCTTCCACTCAGCAATTCTATGCATTTATCATAAGGATCCCAAAGTGCTCAAGCTCCTGGTCAAGCACAAAAGAAGATGAAGTGGGTGTTCATTATAACATGTTTATAAAGATAATAAAAAGAAATAATTATTCAGTCTATATAAAATTATATGTTTGTCAATATATGTGTACATGCCACTAAATAAAAACAAAGATTTGAAAGGTGGTTTACCAAAATGAAAACAATGGCTAGCTCTGTAGAATGCAATATCACATGACTTAATAATTTTATAAACTATTAAGTATGGTTATAAAAATATGTTTATTTCTGTTTAGAAAAAAATAAGTTTCTTTTTTGAGGGGAATATTTCAAATAATTTTCCTTGAAAAAATTTGCTAGACATTATGATTCATCATTCTTTCTGTGCTCATTTCTAAAATTAAAAGACATCATGATTATGAAGTTAAATTTATCAAATAAAAATATTTGATAATATTTTTATTATTCAAGACACTCCAGTATTCAAGACACTTAATGCATCATGTATTTTTTTAACCAATTTAAGAATCCACTTGTTAAAACATTTTGATTTCTACCACAATCTCATACAAAATCTCAAATATTTTGAAGTGACTGTATTAAGTCAAGCACAAAAAGTGTGGCATATTTGAATGCTTATAAAACATAGATTTTTTTTATTTTTGCAGAATAAATTTTGTCATAGAGTGTATTCGAATTTGTACTAAGTATTATATCTATAACTACAAAGACAGCATTGAGACTTTTAAAAGGTTTCTTAATATTTCCATTGCAATTTTATTATCCATCATGAGGAATAAATAAACTGGCTGTATGAATTTAATAAAACTCCAAGTCCAAATCACTCAAAAACATTTTGCTCAAATTTGATCTCACCTCTCAAAACTAAACATTTTAGGAACTACACTGATAGCTGCTTCTGTTCTGGGAATGATTCAGCTCTTGCACATGGCCACTATGCCACTAACAGAGTGTTTCTGGAGAATTAATACAAACCTTTTCAGTTTCATTTTTTTTTCTCCATACTAAGAGTCATGGGGACATAGAATAGGTAGAGGGAAGCAAGGAATCAGTAAGGGGAGAAAAGGTAAGTTTTTGTAATTTTTCCAACTGTAACAACAAAGCTCCTACTTTAAGGGGGAAAAAAACCTCCCAAACCTAGCTTTCTTTCCTCTCTAGCCAACTAAACACATAAAACACATAATATGGTATAAAACTTTTTGGATACATAGACACTAAGCCACAGCTGGTGTCATCATCTGTGTTGCATGACTTTTGTAAAAACTCTCACTTATAGTGGCTTAAAGATTTGCTGTACATGAATCTCCACATTCTCTGCTTCTGAAACCCTAACTGGCATTTAGCTGAAAACAAGCTTCATCCTCAGAGTCACTAGTGACTGGATGCAAGAGCTGACTCATTCCTAGGTCACTGCTGTAGAAAAGGTTAGTTTTTCTTTTCCATAAGGCTTCATAGACTTAAACTCTGTGGGTTTCCTACTCTGTTACCACCTGGCAGACAAGCAGGACCAGAAAACTTGCTTGCACTGTGTTAGACGAACCCTTCAAGAAAATAAGGACAAGATGTGAGCCAGGAAAAGCACTTTGGAAACTGCTTACACCTAATAAAAACATATTTTTAATTTAGCTAATATGAAATCCAAAGTAGTTCAGCCCAAATGGAAAAGATGCTTTATTTATATTTATGTGGGTTCTTAATTTAGGCTTGATTCATGCTTCATGCATGAAAACTACCATTTTATAGAACAAGGTGAACAGTTGGCCTTCA